CGAACCGGTGGCGAGCGTTGCACCTGCTCCGTCCAGTGCCACGACGGATGTCAAGCCAGCTGGCGCGACATCGACGGCCATCTCCGAGGCGATCCTCGAAGAGCTGCGTTCGGAAGTTGCTACTCTCCAAGCGCAGGTCGTCAACCTCCAGGCGAGTCTCGACGCGTCGCAGGACACGGCCAAGACTAGCGCCTCGGAGCTTGTCCTTGCCCGTGCCCAGCACGACAGCGATCTCGAAACTCTCGAAGATCAACTTCGAGCCTCGCAGGACGCCGCTGAGCATCTGGAGGCATCACTCGAAGCGTCGGAGCATTCGGCTGCAACCTGTGTGTCGGCGCTTGCTGCTGCACAGTCGAAGTTCGACAACAACGTCAAGGAGCTTCAAGCGAGTCTCGAGAAGACGCTCAAGGTGCAGGCCGCACAGCACGAGCAAGAAGTCTCTGCTCTGCAGTCCGATCTTGTGACAGCGCATGAGACGTCAGCGAACGTCACGCGCCGCCTCTCGGCCGACCACAAGAAGGCGCTGGCCGATGCCAGTGCCACCCTCGCAGCCAAGGGCGCCGAGTTCCGAGCCAAGTACGAAGACGCAGTGCGTGGCCGCCGTGTGGTCTGCCTTGCTTGCGGCGACGTCGACGAAGTGAGTCAGTGGACCATCTTCCCTGGGCCGTTGATGGAAGACACGGACTTTGACAGCGACATTGAGGTGGGTCTCGGTGACCCACCGGCACCGCCAGACCTGGTCGCAGCCGCAGAGCTCGAGGCAGAACGCAAGGCTTACGAGGCGTTCAAAGCGCAAGCCGACGCCGCAGCAGCCCGCGCCGCATCGAACGAGCTGCGCCTCGAGAACAAGATTTTGAAGCTCATGTCGGCCATCAGCGATCTCTCGGCCAATGTCAACGCGCTCTCGTCGGACAAGTCGGCGCTCGCAGAGGCCAAGACAAAGCTCCAGGAGGAGACAACGAGCCTCGCATTACGCGTAGCCGCCTTGGAAGAGTCGCTGCAGACACAGCAGACACAAGCCAAGAGCGACATGACGGCGGTCGAGACGCGGGCGGTCACGGCCGAAGCCGCCCAAGAAGCCAACGCGACGGCGGTCCGTGAGCTGCAAACCACCATCGAAGGACTCTCGACAAGCGCACTCTACCGACGCACCCAAGAGCTCATGAAACAAATCCGGGACCTGGAGGCTCAGCTGCACCGACTTGGGCACTAGCGGCTACAGCGTATCTAACTCTGTAAAAATTGCATGTTTCAATCAAACCCGTCCCAGCGTTGGATGGATTCGCTAAAAACATCTTGCAAAAGGGACAAGCGGGGCGTCCCTCAATCGATACCGTCAAGATCCGTTATTCGACATTTGATTGGCCACCTCGTCGACCTCGTTGGCCAATCACGTGCCCGCGTTCCGATCCAGCAAACTCTCGGAGAGAGGGCATCGCAGCAGGAGCTCGACATCGCAGAGGTACAGGCTTCCTACACCAAGTCCCATGGCCCACTGGCAGACGAATCGCTCAAAGGATAGCACACATGCTACCCGAGTCTTCGCACCTCCTCGGTAGATGGGATGTTGATCGCGTTAATCAGCTCTGCAGTACCGGTACGTGCGATGGACGCCGGAACAACGATCGCCTCAGCTCCTTCGTCGTGCGCCAGGCAAGGAGCGCCGTAAGGTCGTTGCGGGTCAAGAGACGCTTGCCTCGAAAAACAGCGACGTCAGCCACCCGTCGAGATGAGACCCTTTCTCCTTTAATGATGCATCCAACTGGTGTGTTTCGATAGATTAACGTCCTACTCTGCCTCGTCGTCCGAGCCGCCGCTGGTCTTGGCCTTCTTGGCCTTCTTCTTGTCCTTCTTCTTGTCCTTCTTCTTCTTGTCCGTCTTCTTGGCTTCGCCATCGTCGTTCTCGTCCTCTTCCTCGTCGTTGCCGCTGAGACTCTCGTCGGAAAAGTCCTCCGAGCCGTCCTCGTCCGACTCGGCGCCCGGGCCAAAGTCCGAATCTTCTTCCTCCTCTTCGTCGACCTCGCCTTCTTCGGGCCCGAGCGCCTCGTTCATCTCTTCGTAGCCGCGCTTGGCCGGCGCCGTCGCCTGCGTCTCCTTGAGGTTGCGGATCTTGAGCTTCTTGGACGTTAAAAACTGCGAGAGCTCCGGAAACTCGCGCCGGTCGATGGCCGAGAAGAGCGTCTCGTGCGCGAGCTCTTGGCCCACCGCGCGGCAGCTCACGAGCAGATCGAAGTTGCGCGACGCCGACGTGCCCGACTGGCCCGCGTAGCGCTGGAACTCAATGTAGTCAATGTCGTCGTACCGGATGAACGTCGTCGGCTTGTGGATGAACATGAACGACTTTTCGAGCGGGAAGAGGACGCCCGAGTTGGCTTTGACCGCGCACTTGACCGCGCGGTCGCCGCTGTGCGTGACAAACTTGCCCGACGTGTAGACCTTCTTGCCAATGATAAACTTGAAGAGCGTCGCGACGATCTGCGGAAGCGCGCCCGACATGCGCTCGTGGATGTTGCCGCCGTACGCCTTGATCTCGTCGG